ATTGTCATGAGTACAATATTCCCAGTTGCAAGATCCGTACATTCGCTTGGACCCATCAACTGGACAAACAATCAGATTAATAAGATTCTGACAAAAAGGAGCGGCATATACTTCAGAGAAGCTGACTGTGACAGCGATGGTTACAGAAGTTAGGGAGAGACTGTCAGTAAGTAAACGCGTAATACTAAAGCTTGATATGGAGAGATTCAATCTCAGGAAATTAGAAGAGGTAACAGGAAAAACATCACAGATCCAGGTTGAATTACGTGTATTAAACAGTTTCGCAGCTTTGAAAAACTTAGATGTTGATATGAATGTTAATAGAGCTTGTTAAGCTACCAGAGAGAATACCTATAAAGTTTTCAGTAGAAGACTCTATGGGCTTTTACGAAGTGAAGCAGAGTAAGTCATGTAGATTCTAAAGGCTTCTGACGATGGTGTATAATACTCAGAATTACCGGGTTTTTGGACTTTTACATCTTTCGGTATTCTAGAAACTAGAAAACACGATGCTTAGAAAACTGGTTGTGTTTCCGTCCTCAGGTGAGGGGGAAGGCACCTATTCATTTAGGTCCCTTAGAGATAACCTTAATCACTGGAACCAGTGATTTTCTCCTACTGCCTACTTGAATCACGGAATTACGCCTTAGGGCGCTGATGTTTGTCCTGTGATGGCAGGGTTCCTGCAGGCAGTTGCAGGATCCTTGTCTGAACATCGGATTAGAAAACCCCGATAAGTGCCCTGCAAGTTTCACTGTTCAGTTACTTGCGGAAGAGTTCGCTGAAATTAAATAAAATACGGGGAGAATCATTTCCTTGTCTTTAGTATCTTCATCCTTCGCCCTCTTTTCCTTTCCTTTATTCCCGTCATTTTTTATTTCTTCCCATAATTTCTCCATTACAACAGCGAATTAAATTACATCCTTGTCGTTCAGATGGCAGAGTTTCGAACGTAGCAGCTGCCATCTTTGTAAGCTAAAGCCTCCGCACTGTGAAAGCGACATAACAAACATACACAAAGGATCAGTTTTAAACAGAGTCCTTTTGTGTCTAGGTCTATATACACAGTATCCGAAGGTTTGTAACTAATTATACAAAGGATGCCCTGCCACAGCTCAGGCGGTTAGTCGCCGGCTTCCCACTGCGGCAGCCCGGGTTCGAGTACATCTCAGGTCATGTGGGATTTGTGATGATACAGTGGCACTAGGGCAGGTTTTCTCCGAGTACTTCGGTTCACCCTGCCAATTCTCTTTCCACCGACTGCTCCACAATCATCATCCATCATTTGGGACAGGTACGACAGGGAAATTTGTGGCCGAAGGTCCTAGTGGACTCAGTCTCACCCCACCCCAAGAAACTACAAAGGAAATATAAGACAAAATTATATAGTATTCCTTCTATATCAAAGAAAATGTGTATAATTATATATGCACGTTTCATGTCGTGGTACTCTCGCGTAGGCTTACCTATTCATTCATTCAATCATTCAGTCATCAATGGCTCTACAGCCCTTTGTTGGGTCCTGGCCTCTTCTTCAGTTTCGTAGTCTTTTTTACGCAGACGGTAGGACTCCCTGGACGGGTGATCAGCCTGTCGCACGGCCGCTACCTATACACAGGACAACACAGACACAAAATAAAGGAACACACAAAAACATCCATGCCTTGAGTGAGATTCGAACCCACGATCTCAGCGTTCGAGCGAGCACCTTAAACCGTGCGGCTGTGACCGGCTGAGCTTACCTGTATATATGACAATTATACGTACAAGGTTACATATGTACTGAAACTTAATTCGCTGCTTTAACATAGAAAGGAGGGAAATACGAGCAGATAAAGGCATGAAGAATAAAGGAAAGGAAGAAAGCGGTAAAGGACGAACATAAAAAACTTTTCCCTGCTTAATTCATTTTCTACAAGTATAAATAATTAATGCAAGAAAACTAAACTTAATGAACTAACACATGTTACTTTTATTTTTCATATCCCAAAGTCCAAATAGTTTCGTATACAGAATATATAATTAGACAATTCAATTGTAAAGAAAATATATTAGGATATATTTACAACTTGGAAATAATTATATACATACAATTACAATTGAAAGTTTGTAAAGTATTTTGCATTCAAGATGTTCTTATCTGTGCAGAATGACAGACAGACAGAGAAAGAGACATATTATTATATTATTGTCCTGAAATCTACGTATCTCATTCATGTACCTCATTTTTCATATGAAACAATCACATCTACTTACATCGAACAGACATCTAAGTTATATTTTTCAGCAGGAATATGAACCCTACTAAAATATTTCTACACAAATGTCTTTGCATTCATAATGATACATACAACATTGAAATATGAATGATTATTTTACACTGCAGTAAGAACCATATGCATTCATTAAACGGGATATATCTGGGTCAGTGTAAGCTACAGACTGGAAGTCCATTGTTCGAATCCCAATTAGAACTTCGGTATATTCTCTTTATTACCCTACCGAGACCGATCCTGAAAACCAACCAACCTCCTGCCCACTTGGTAAGTGGCTTTTATACCTGAGGGTAAGAAAGCTTGAATTTGAATCTAACCAATCCCTACCATTTCCGAAATTAAGAATGGAGCTTTATTTTCTAGCCCCTGTAAGCTTTCACGGCGTAGTGAAGAGGTTAACTTTACCTTTCCGAGTAACATGCAACAGTTAACCGCGCCATAGCTCAAGCGGTTAGTCGCTGGCTTCCCACCGCGGCGGCCCGGGTTCGAGCCGAGGTCTGGTCAAGTAGGATTTGTGGTGGACAAAGTGGCGCTAGGGCAGGTTTTCTCCGTGTACTTCAGTTTCCCCTGCCAAAGATCCACTCCACCAAATTCCCCATCATCATAATCACCCGGGGCAGGTACAATAGGCCAATCAGTGGCCGACGTGCCGAGTGGACCAAGCTGGACTCCACCCCCCACTCCCCACCCCACTATGCGAATTAAAAAAAAAAAACAACAACAGTTTCACTATTCTAGCATTTAGATAAATCAGTCACATGATGAAAAAAAAAGTTTATCACGAACAACAGACGGAAGTAATGAAATGAAGAAAAACAGTTAATTACGAAAATATCAAACGCGACAGTGAAATTGATAACTAAATTTATATTTGAATCCACTGCCGGCTTCGGGGTTTTAAATTTCATATTCGTAAATATGGATTTACATGCACTTCCATAAAGGCTCCAACTACGACCTTTCTGAACTCTAACAATCTTGAAAATGGCGGAGTCCATTTAAAACAAAAATGCGGCGTAATACTTAAATCTGATGGCAGAATTGAGATGCGGAAGATGGCCGTAGAGGTCACTAGTGGCATAATGTGTCCCCGACAACCACGAGCCCCTACAGACCTCACAAACACCGAGTGTTATTACGCACAAGGAAATGGGAAGGCACGTAGAAAAATCAACGCTGGATTCAGCAGACAAAAAAAAAAGAACACCTAGGCTTTAGTCCGCAAGCGAACTATGCCGACCGAGCTACCGCCGCTTGTCGGTGAAGTTAGTGCCAACTTTAGCGGATAGAGGCTGTCGCGTGGTCAGCGCAACGAGTCCCCACGGCCGTTAATTTCGGGTTTCTAGACCGAAGGATTCAGCCGATATGTACGTAAGCTAATATTACTGGTAAAGATGACCCCTGACGGACTTTACACGAAGTGCATTAACTGATCATATTATGCGGAAGACGTCTTTATCCGACTGTCGATACACGGCTACCTTGCCTCCGAAACTACAGAACAGATTTCAGTTAAGAAGAAAGCAGTTTTCTGGGTTTAGGCGCCGTGTATTCTTCGTTTTGGCCGATGTTCCTCCGAAACGTCGGCCAAAACGAAGAATACACGGCGCCTAAACCCAGAAGACGACTTTCTTCATAGTCATCGCCGTGAAAACCTCAAAACTTACATAGATTTCAGTTAAATTTGCAGAGATAGCTGAAGGGACGATATAATTTTGTAAGATTTCAGGTTTTCATGGCGGTGAATAACAGATGTCGCGCCGTGTACATATTGTGTTAACCGACGTTTCGGAGGAACGCATCACCTCCATCTTCAGGGCATAAGAAAACCACGAGCGAGGAACCAGCGTGGGTAGGTGGTTGCAGCGATATGTTCCGAAACGTCGGTTAACACAGTATCTACACGGCGCCAAATCCCAGACGACGGCATTCTTCGATATAATTTTGGCTAGTATATAACCAGTATAACGCACATTTTACGTGAAAATGGAATCGAGCTTGCCACACACTTTCATCGTACCAAGTCAAAATCTCAGATCTCATTAAGATCTACAGCTTCTATTTGAAGAATGCGGTCAATATTTGACGAAATATAGGCAGAATATTCTCCTGCTCCTTGCAATGTGATTGCACAATACATATTTATCCGCAATACACGAGTAAAGTAAAAAGTAAAGCTATCCCTGTACCAGGCCGTGAAGGCCCATAGGGTTGTGAGACGTTGAGAGTCCCACATTATCTAGACAATCGGCTCAAAGATGGCGGTAAGGTTGTCAGCCTTACGCGCCGGCCGCGCTTTACTCCCCAGGAAAATTATTTAATTAATTCCTGGTACTCATTTCTGTTAGAGGCTGAGTAAATCCCAGGGCCATAGTGCGGCCGGAAGGTTTAGGTCAACTGAAAAATTTTCAATGGCCTCATCGGGACTTGAATCCACATGAGGGAAACCAGAAATATACGGTAACTAGCAAAGGATGTGGTTGAGAATTACCGTGTACTTTACTATAAAATAACTTTCACCGTTCTTTTGACCTCTTAATTTTTCTTAATGAAAGTTATTAATTATTTTGCGTCAAACCCGAATAAATTTCATCTGGAGGATAAAATTAGACGAACCCTGAATGCTTAGAAACAAGGTCAATTTCAAAATAATTCAGTTTTGATAAAACATTGAATTAAATTGTTCTATGCTTGAAAATTATAAAATATATTTACAAATCTGCAGTCAATCAAAATATTTTTATTTGAATTTTTATATTCTTCCGTAACATGTTAAAACTTCAAGTGTTCCTCGCTAAGACTTCTTTAACACAGACTTTAGAAGTTATAACGTTAGGCGACCAACCAGATATGTTACATATATTACACATAAAAACAATCAGGAACTATTTTTGTGAGTTTTGTTAAATATACAACAAAGGCTCATTTCCAAAGGGAAATTAGAAATTGGAGAATTCCAGGCATCACCCTCGCCCACTACAGGATGAACTTGGTGGCGGGGTTCGATTCTCAATACCATACCCAGCCGGCCCTAGTTTCTGGGGGTATTTCCTCGGAGTTACTGCTGCAGGACTGTGCAGTTGGTCACTCACCCCCACCTACCGACCGCTCCAGTGAATGCGCGGGACTTCAACGCTTGTGTGGGGTGACAGTGACAACTTAACATTACTCACTGTTGACCACCCTCCACCCCCAACTTTGGGGCAATTCCAACGTCTCTTTTCTTCGTTTCTGACAAATGTTCAACTTCTTGTCACTTCCGGTGGCTGTTGGGTGCTGCAGTCGTGTTGTTATTATATGGATAAAATGAAGAGCTCCGGTTGCCCTGCTGTTGCTGCTGTAGAGTTTTCATGAAGTTGTCAAATGATTTCATTGATTTGGCATCATTAAACCATTCCATGCGTGGATTTGGACTGTGCTTGCCTGAATTCCAAAGTCGCTGCATCTCAAGCTGCTGCCGAAACATGACGGCGGAAGAAGGGAGTAGGTGGGGCGGGTACATGTCCAGTGGCTGCTGTTGCTGAAGTCCACTTCTGGAACAACCAGGCAGTATATCAGCAGGCGGAGAAGGCGAGGACGAAGATAACGATGAAGGACGCTGTTGTTGCGAGTGGCCTGAACGGTGATGCTGTGGTACAGGAATGCGGAGCTGCGGAGGTGGAGAACGGACCGGTAGAGACATCACCGGAAAAGGGGAAAGAGATGACAAGGGAGACAGAGGGGGCGGTGCAGGGGAAGGACAATGCTGTTGATGACGACGAGCCAGTGTTTGGGCAATGGATAAGATATTGCCTTGCTGCTGGCGACGTGGAGATGCAGAGAGGTCCAGAGCACCACCGTTGCTGCGTTCCCCATCTGGGAGGGCTGGTGGCTGTAATCTGGAACTTGCATTGCAGTGCGCTGCAGCGGGAACAGATACTGGAGTACTTTGCACATTTCGCACGCAAGCAGAAGATCCAGGTACTTGGGATAATATGACGTCAGATTTTGGAGATGTGGTCTCAAACTTGGAGGTTGGATCTCGACATTGGATGTCGTACTGTTTTGAGAAGACATTGGTTTGATTGTTATGAGCGGGTCGCTGCAGTGTAACAGAAGACCGCACGTTATCAGCAAGGCTGTTCTTGTGTAGGCTGTGATTCTTTTGAAGTTCTGTCTTTTCGATATGCGCGGGTAACTGGAAATGGGCGTTACTGCCCTTAGAGACAATCGGAGAGACCTCTGAAGCATCGGACTTTTGTGTGACCTTTTTAGGAGCCTGGCATTCACCGGAACTGGGAATATTTTTTACTTTCAACTCATTTGACTTTTGGGCGACGTGAATTGCATTATGGTTATTTTCAACACCGAGGCGCCACTTCTTGGCAACGGGTTCCATATCCTTCTGTTCTGTTGCATCAGCTGGATTACCCAAAGGTCGCTTCACTGGATTTGCAGCAAGTACACATCGTTTTTTCGAAATCGACTTATCTTCTTGGGCTCGAGCTGGAACACCGCATGCCTTCAGCATGTCCTGTGGTTTCCTCGGCAAGATATGTGTCGTCCGCTTAAAATTGTTAGAACAACGCATTATTTCATCATTCTTCTTCAAGATCTGCTGGTTATTCTTTATGACTTGTATACTTTGTTGGGGCACTTTAATGTTATTATTGTTAGTGTTACTATTGTTAGAGGCCAAAGGAGTGCTCTTCGTGCTCTGCTTTTCTTGCCTCTTCTCTGGTGCTGATATGTTATTAGTCGACTCTTTTCTAAAATCCTTTTTGTTACTATCTTCAACTTTGTCCTTTCGCAAGGTTAAACAGTTACTAGCATGTTTGTCCGTTACCTTCTGACTTATGCAAGGTAATCTAGTAGCTTCTTTATTTGCCGGAAATTTGGCTGTGCTAAGATGTATTTTGTTATTGGTAGCGTCGGGCGTTACCTTAATAAAGGGGGAAGACTTCGTAGCAAACATCTGAGTACGTTGCTGAGCATGCTTTGAAGAAGGAGGTTTGACTTTACTCACTGTATCCGGAGGTGCGTATGTGGCAATGCCTGACTCAGTCGCAGTTTTGTTGTTGACTTCAGTGAGCAATCTGTCCATGAAGCTGACCCCTGCAGTTTCTTCACACTTAACTGTAAAATTCCCGGCGGGCTGCATATGTGCAGGCAAAATTTTGCCATCAGCATTACCGGGACGAACAGGAGGAGGAGGAGGAGGAGGAGGTGAAGAAGGTTTTGGTTTATTGTTACCAGGAACTGTATCACTTAAAACGTGGCCATTATTTGCAAAGTTGCTGTCGTTAGACGATTTATTTGAGGGTGGTGCTCCATTTGTGGAAGGTGACTGTGCAGCTGTTTTTGCGACATGAATGCCACTGAGTTCCTTCAGAGCAGTGTCTGTGCTTGCCTGTGGTGTGGTGAGTCCAGTGTCTGCTACAACGGGCGGTTGCTTTGTAAGCACTGTCGGGGCAGGTTGTTGACGAACTGTGGTAAGTGTTACAGAAGGCGTCTCTTGCTGCACAGAGCTTTTGCTAACGGATGTCGAAGGTGACAATTCAGTTTTGCCAATTATTGTCGTAGGAGCCGGTACTGGTGTTTTCGCATCTGGTGACGTCACTGGATTCATGGGATTTGAGGTTGAAGTTGTTTTGGTAATGGATATCAAAGGCGGACTGGTTACAAATCTCGTATGACCCTGTGTGCCAATTTCTGGGAGAGTTGATTGAGGTAACTGTGAAGAGGTTATATTAAGGGGTGTTGTGGTAGGCACTGCATATTTTATTTGTACAGGAGTTGGTAGTTCTTCGATATTTTCTTTTAAAACAGTTGAGGACGGTTGTGAGATCGACTTAGTAACAGTTGTGACTATTTCGGGCTGCGCACAAACTGTTGTCGCTTTGCCAGATAGTGTATGTGTGGACACTGTTGTGGTCACTATTTGTGTTGACTTTCCAGAGGTTCGAACGGCTGCTGTTTTGGGCAACCGTTCAGAATCATGTTCACCGTCTGATGAATTTGTTTCTGGTAACCGAGAAACAGTTGAAGGTAGCTGAGAAGTGGGCGGTGTCGGAGAGGATTGTTCAGCAGACGCTGAGTTGATAACAGCAGGAAGCTGTTTCTCGACCAGAGACGAAGCGAGGTCTTTCTGGGTTTGGCTGATTCGATAGAAGAATTTCATTGGGCCGTTCTGCAAACAAACAAAACAATTCACATTCACTGTCTACATACCGGGTGTCTGGATGAAAGGCATCCAAAATAAAAAATGTATATCTCAGAAACAGTCATACACGTATCCGCTTTATGTCATCGGAAAGAAAAAATTCTGAAAGTTTTACGCGCAAGCTCCGCTACATTTTTGCCACCATGTTAGGAATCACCTAGAGAGATAGATGGCTAGGAGATGGATCGGCAGAGATGAACCAATTGCTTGGCCTCTTAAGTCGCCTGATTTAACCCCAGTGGATTTTTTCTTATGGGGTTATGTGAAGAACATTGATTACCAGGACCTTCAACACGTGAAAGCCCTCATAAGGGACGCTGTGGCTACGGTAACACCAAACATGCATCAAGCGTGGATATTTGTTGTGCCACCAAAGGAGGCCACTTTTAAATTTATTGAGAAAGTTATATACCCAGAAAAAACTTTGATAGTTTCCCTTTGTAATGGTGTAACCCATAAATGTGTATAATAAATTATTTCTGAGATATAATTACTTTATTTTGGATACCTTTCATCCGGACATCCTTTATGTGTCCACGGACAGCAGTTTATAGTTCCGCCATATCACATATCCCTGCTACCACGAGAAAATGTGAAAGACAATAAGATGACATGTGGCTAGTACCTGTACTTACTTACAGGCGTAAGTAGCCGATCAGCGAATTGTCCAACTAATTATTAAGCTACATACTCTCTTGCAGGTATACAGGTGTCAGTATGCAGGATCACCCACTCCTTTGCTTTATGAGCATTAGGAAGTTGTACGCCTTCTCTCAGTTTACCTACACACTGATATCTCTAGTCTGGGAAACAGTAATTAGTCTTCATAACCAATAAAGAAATTATCTATTTAGCTCAATAAGAAACAAGCCAAGAAATTACTGACTTATTAACAAACAAATGAATGTCCCAATTATTTCATTATTTAAAATCCATTTGTACAAACATGATACACTAACTAAATAACGAAACATTTAATTCGCTGACAAGATAATTAACTAACTACTCGCAAGGAAAGAAACAATACAAATAAAAAAAAATCGTGCCCAACAAGCAATCTAAGTCATTAAATAAACTGCATAAATAAACAACAAAAACCTGCCTGTTCGCCTTAAAAACAGACAAGCGAAGTAGCTAATTAACTCACAATACATACAAGTCACATAATTATCTATTTACCTAACGAAATAATCAACCGCAAGAATATGTATCCCACTAATGAGCTACATAAGCAACTAAATGACCTGTAACAAACAAACCAAGAAGCAAGCAACAAACAAATTTCATACCCAACCAATACACTACATGGCTGGTTAAGAAAATGATGTATAACTGCCTTCTTATTTCTTAAACTAACCAACCAACCTGTATCACTAAAACAACTGCCCAGCTGCTTACCTGCTCACCTGACTGTGAACACTAGCACTTAAATCCTTAAAAAATTAACAGAATATTAATCTCATTAAAAAAAAACAAAGAAATCTACTGCCTACTTAAACAGTTAACTACATCGATTCGTAACAAACAACCACCCTGCATATCTATGTAAACAAATACCTGGTTAATTACATTGAAAACTGGGGGAAAACCCGTTACTATCAGAAATTTAACAAAATGGCCATGATGTTTGGTTATAAAATATAAATTTTCTTTAGACCCACAACTTTTATTCTACAGTTATCAATGTGGTGGACATAGAGGGCTCTGCGAAGTGCAAGCTTTCATATCTCTGTCGAAGACATGACCACAGCAACAGCCAAGTCTGAACTAATTCAAATGAAAACTTAAGTTCAAAAATTTATGCAAAATAACAAAGAAAACGTTGTCAAGTTCCTAGTATTTCTGCTTCTAATCCAAGATTCCTCCGGGTTTCGATCCTCTGCACCGAAGCCAGTCATCTAGACTAGGATTCCTCGTGGATTTTCGATTTTTTCTTGTACAGAACTTCAAAATACGCACTATCACTACAGATATGACTTTCGCAGTTCATTATTCGGAATCGTCTTCCCCTGTAACGGGGCATAACGCAAGCAGCTCGCGCTACACAAGGCACACACAAATTGGAAGCAATGGTTTTTGTATTCTAGGTTTATTTGATGTCTCCGCCATCTGTCAAAACAAGCCTTTCGAATATGCTGCCATGGAAACACAGAAAGTTTCTGTAAATATGAATACGTATTTAACTAATAATAGCTCCATAACAAACCTAGCGATTGAGTCTTTTGTCGACGCGTGTTGTTATGCATGCCATTTGAGCAATTTGTTTCTGTGACAATGGCCTTGAAATTCCGACTTCACGCAGGAAGACTGGGGAAGAGGAAGACGCCTACGCAGAACACATTTCTATTTTGAGCAATCTTGAAATGTAAGCCAGGAATTTTGCCCCAGAAATTGAGGAAATATTATGCTACAATTCTTTACCTAAATACGTTTTTCCATTCTTGCAATGGTATTGATAATTTGTTTGCCGCTCATGAAAAGTATAGCATTCCCATGCCTAAACATTTCGCTTCATAACATGATTCAGGCAATTTAGCGCCGTATTCCCCCCCCCAAAGAACATTCCGAGAATATTCCTGGTACTCATTCCTGTTAGAGGCTGAGTCAACCCGAGGGCCATAGTGCAGCTGGAAGGATTAGGTAAACTGAAAAAATCCAATGACCTCCTCNTAAGCAACTGTCCGATTCGCAGTCGTTTCGGAGTCTCAAATTTCAGCCTTGACATTTTTGTATTTCGTGCGGAGGTGGTGCTTTCAAGAAGTCCAGAAGTAGCTCACAATTAACTGCACAAAACTGCAGAGGAACCTGAACCCGACTTCCTCCGCCGCGTATTGTGGACTGACGAGGCAATATTCGCACGGGCTAGAGGAAACATTCTCCACAACCTACAGGAATGGGGAATGGAGAAATCGCAAAATATTCAAATCAATCAACTGCAACGGAGATTAGCGTCAACATTTCAGCCATAACCGCAAACGATTACGTAACTGGGCCATACCAAATCTCGGGAGAATCCTGCATGTTGATTTCCTTGTAGGCAGAAAATAAGATTAATTTTATTGGAGGATTTACCCCTTAATGTTCGCGAGTGTATGTCGTGGTGGCGTGACGGCGCCCCTCCCCACTTTCCAAGCCAAGCGAACAACCGTTTTCCTGTTACATGAATCGGCCATTGGGACCGATCATCTGGCCTCCGCGTTCTCCTGACCTGAACATGACAGAATTCTTCTTACGGGTACGCATGCTATGAAGTGGCTCCAACTTAGTCTATTGCTTCGTATCGGGGACTCCACATGTAGTCACTGTGAAGCCTGCGGACGAGCGGGAAGGGGCAAATTTGGGCAGTCTTTGTGTGTGCGAGTCTCCACTTCACGACCATATATTTCTTTTAGACGTGAAATAAACTCGAACTGAAAGGACGTAATTATGGTAATTTATGGCAATTAAAAGTAATAAACTACATGTTAAATGTGAATAACCCAATGTATACATGAATGGACAATTATTTCAGGATCTCGAAAAGTGTCAAAACGTCATAACTCTACAAGAATAATAAATCGATTTTTTTTTTACGATTCCATTCTAAATTATCTCCCCAGAAACTTCGTAAAGACTGGCAGTAGCAGTTTGTATCGCCCTCTGTACGTGTGTATATACTGACTGAAGCATCTGTGATACTGTTCATTCTGAAAAAAGGAAACTTTACTGATTTTCAGTTCTCAAAGGGAGTGTGCTAGTTTCAAGATACAGCATTATAGTTTGCAGGACCCATTTTTTTTATTGCTCGTGGGGTGGGACTAAGTCCCTTATACTGCGGCCACTTCTGGCCTATTGTACCAGCCCCAGATGATAGGTGAGGGTGATTGTGGAGCAATATGTGGAATGAAGATTGGCAAGGGAAACCGAAGTACTAGGAGAAAACCTGCCCCATCGCCACTTTGTCCACCACAAATCCCACTTGACCAGACCCGGGATCGAACCCGGGCCGCCGCGATGGGAAGCCAGCGACTAACCGCTTGAGCTATGGCGCGGCCTCTTGCAGAACCTGAGTTTAAATATTTTCTCCCTTACACAGCTTGCAGTGCCGTATAGAGGATAATTGGGCAGCATATGATAGACTCCTTGCCTTTAGGAATGTATTTCTCAATAAGAAAATGGATTTTCACGATGCATTGCCAACAACAAACACAAAATAATACAGGAATAAAAGCAAGAGGATGTAATATAGAAGAGTTGTTGAGAAAATAAAAACAAACAGAGGCACTTTCTTCTCACAGCGTCGGTTTTTTCTGCACTTCCCTTAATGTCAAGATATTTGTGAACATTGTTGTACAAAATGATTATTCTCATGATCATGACGTTGATTTTACAGTAGAGTTAGAATTGTTTTAATATATCGTAAAAACTTACCCTCTTCCATGTGTAGATATAGGCTACGTCCATTAGCGTATATTCATCTGGTAGAGATTCCCACATATGGATCACTTCCACCTGAAAATAATACACTTTCATTCATATATGAACAATTGTATCATACACAAGGAAATCTTTATTAAAATTCTCTTCCTTAGTACTTACTGTGCTTCATAACTTGTATCCTTCTCCAAGTATAATTAGAATGATCAGGGCAAGGAGGATGAAGTGGGCAGTGCATGTAGCACGGATGGGGAGAAAAGAAATGCATGTAGGATATTGGTGGGAAATCCAGAAGGAAAAAGACCACTGGGAAGACCAAGGCGTAGGTAGGTGGACAATATTAAAATGGATCTTAGAGAGATATGATGGCATGGTGTGGATTGGATTGATCTGGTTGAGGATAGGGACCAGTGAAGGGCTCTTGTGAACACGGTAAAGAATCTTCGGGTTCCATAAAATGCTGGGAAATTCTTGATTTGGCGGCTCCTAAAGAAGGGCTCATTTCCATGAGTAAGTAAGTAAGTAAGTCTTCATGTAGAAGAAAGTGGAATATGAACACAAATAATCTCTATGTTAAAGCGCTCTCGCTCAAAGCTCTTCAGATGAAGATAGAGCAGAACTGATAGAGAGATCCACCTCCTTGTTGACACGTTTGACCTCCGAATTTGATGAAACAATTTTGACGAGATCTTGTAGGCCTATTTCGATCACATGTGGCCTACATTATAATTTAATGACAAAATTTAATTCTATTTAATAATGCACAACTTAAAATTCCTCTCTTAAACCAAACTCGAATTCAAATATATAATTTTCCACAGGAAACTGAGCATCACGTAAAAAAAAAAAGTAAAGGTATCTCTGCACCAGGCCATGAAGGCCCACAGGGTTGTGAGACGCTGAGGCTCCCACATTATCTAGACAATAGCAAATTATAACATAAACTGTAGGCCGATATCACATAAAGAGAGATAATTAACCTTTCAGGTAGGCCTAATGTAAGGAAATACAAGGACAAGCATTTTATCTGTGATAGCCTCTGTGGTCTAGTGGTCAGAGTTCCTGGCTATAAATCCAGAGGTGCGGGTTCTATTCCCGGCGCCACCAGATTTTCTGAGAAGTAGTGGGTCTGGAACGGGGTCCGCTCGGCCTCGTGAGGATAATTGAGGAGCCATTCCAAGAAGATAGCGGCTCCGGTCTAGTAAACCGACATTAACGGCCTTGGGGATTCATTGGGCTGACCACGCGACACCCTCTATCCGCTAAATAGATGATTATATGAGGAATCCAAAGGACGCGTTTGGACAAGGAGCTCATGTGTAGGCTACTAGGAACTGGATAGGCATTTCTATTTCAGTTATACCAACAAACCGTTCACAGCAATTTAAACAAATTTATCACTAACAAAAACAATGCAAGCCTAATATATTATCCAACTTACTTACTTACTTACTTACTTACTCATGGAGCTGAGCCCTTCTTGAGGAGCTACCAAATATGTAGCTACTCAAGATTTTCCCAGCATTTTATGGAACCCAAAGATTCATTACCGTTTTCACAAGAGCCCTCCACTAGTCCCTATCCTGAACCAGATCAATCCAATCCAACCCATCCTATATCGCTAACATCCATTTTTATATTATCCACCCACCTACGCCTTGGTCTTCCAGTGTCTATTTCCATCTGGCTTTCCCACCAATATCTTATATGCATTCCGTTTCTCCCTCATTCTTGCTACATGCCATACCCACATCATCCTCCTTGACTTGATCATTCTAATTACACAAGAGTACAAGCTATGAACTTCTAACGTTCCAATTACCGAATTTCACGTCCATATTCCTTAACCTAGGGCGTCTATCCAGAGGATCCGTCTCGGTCCAAGATTTTTTGAACATTTTTATAACAAGCTCATATTTTTCGGTGAGGAATTATTAGCCCCAAGCCCAACCCTCGAGCTGGAGGACCACCCCTTGTCGGTTGTCCGCCACTGCTTATTCAGTATATTCGCAGTTACCCTCCATATCTGGAGAGCGTCTCCTCCACCCGCAACCTGAGGACGCGCCATGCCGTGGTGACAAGGGACCCACGTAGCTGCAAAAACTGAGATCCAGCTAGACTCTAGATTCTTTTAGGAGACACTACAGAGCAGTTGTGTCACTCTTAACTACTTAGTCTGTGAAACTCCTTTATATATGAAGCCGATGTCAATATTATAGGTAAAAAGGTAAAGCTATCCCTGTAACGAGCCGTGAAGGCCCATAGTGTTGTGAGACATCGAGTTCCCAAGATTTTGTAGATAATCGGCTTATAGGTGGCGGTGAGGTTTTAGCCTTACGCTTCCGCCACCCTTTAAACCTCAGGTAGATTCCTGGTACTCATTTCTATTAGGGGCTGAGTCGATCCCAATATCATAGTGCGGCTGGAAGGATTAGGTAAATTGAAAAATGTAGCGACCTCATCGGGAATCGAACCCGCGACCTTCTAACTTGTAGGGCAGTGCCTCAACCAACTACGCTACAGCATGCCCCAAATAATGTAGGTCCTACTTCTAAAATATAAACTACGCTATATGTAGAACTGCTCAATAAGCAACAAACTAAAATAACCCTCGGGAAATGACCGATCGTGGTCTTTTCTCACTTCTTGTCGCCTTCGCATTCGTCAAGACTTGGTTACATTCACAGAATTTCGCGATATTCCTCAGTCCCTCCAGATATATGCTGGAGTAGGGCCTATTGTAAAACGTACTACAAAACTTTCAATTCCACATTCGTACAGAATCATTCACATTCATTGTGTCATTCGGCGAGTGCTCACGACAGAGTCCCCGTATGCATTGGTCAGGAGACTGAAGGGGTCACAGAGCTGGGAAAGATGAAATTCGTATCTCTGCTGGAAAGTCAAAGTCCGAGCGTCCAACATGTAGCCGGCCACTTTACTGACTGGTCTATTAAGAGAGACTGAACATCCGGCCGGCACTTCTGCCCCTTCTTCGGAGCACGCGCTTGCGCCTTGCCCCTTCTTTTTCCTCTCCTCTTGCTCGCTCAACAGGACTACAGAGATCTTGGGTCACCTTCTGGCGGTTTGGGACTACCTGGGGTTCAACACGTATTGCTCCTCCTGTCCCAGGTAAATCTCATTGTGTCTTGAAGATTGAGACGCGCTCCCGATCTGTAACTCATTCACAGCTCTGCCTCGCTTGTATGTGTTGTACTGCATCACCAACTTCCAGTTGTAAGCAATAGCTATTCAGTATTGTTACACTGCAACATCCTGTTGCACTGCATAGATCTGATTCTCCGTTTTGCTTTTATGCCGTCTATGTGCAACGTCGGTTAATATTCTCTCGTCCTGTTTTATTGTCACTACATGTTTCGGCCTTCCCGGCCATCTTCAGGTGTACACGTTATTGTGGTTAAGGAATCTGCTACTTACTGTAATACTGTTTTGTTTTAGGCCGAAACCTCTTGTGTCACGAGTCGGGATAACGTAGTCGGTATAGCAACTAGTAGGGGCTGGAAGACCGATGGGCGGGAGTTCGATTCCCGGTAGGGACAAAAATTTTCTCTTCTCCACGTTGTCCAGACCGGCTCTGGAGTCCACCCAACCTCCTATCCAGTGGGTACTAGGGCTTTATCTCCGGGGGAAAGCGGCCAGGGCGTGAAGCTGACCATTCATCTCCAGCTAGTGCTGAGGTCAAGAAAATGTGGATCTATATATCCACTCCACCATACGCCTTCATGGCGTAGTGCACAGGAAAAAATTACCGTTACCTGTAGTGTCTATACAGAGAACACGAATGAATAGTGACTGACGTTGCACATAGTCGTCATAAAAACAAAACACAGTCAGATTTGTTTAGTGTATACTCCTAATTTCTTTTGTTATAATTAATTTTGCCGGTCACGGTAGCCGAGCGGTCTAAGGCATGCACTGTCTTCGCTCGCTCGGAAGCCGAGATCGTGAGTTCGAATCCCACTCAGGGCATGGATGTTTGTGTGCGTTTTTCTGTGTTTGTGTACCGGTAGAGGCCTTGCGACGAGCTAATCACTCGCCCAAGGGTCCTACCGTATGTGTAAGATCGAGAAAAACCGAAGTGGAACGGAGAGTTTCATGGAGGTAGGCCTAGGCCCACTGGGGCTGTAGCGCCAATGGGGAAAAAAATTAATTTTAGCCTAAGCCTCATGTTTCTTTGTTTTACTTCATTTGCTGTCTTCGGTGTGAGCGACACTACTGTCATGTAATGCAGTGTCCCAAAGTTTGGTATGTTATTGAATCTTCGAAAATGAATTCATTCAGACTTCATGTAGGTCCTAAGAACAGCTACGGGACATTAAAAGTAAGATATCTCACTGCAATATAAGGCACAATGTATAGGCAATTCTTATTCGTTTCGGACACTTTTTCGCTTAACTCAGGTGTTTGTTAGGCCTCCTACACAAGCAACATTAAGGGAGGAACATAGACGGAGGGTGTTTGAGAACAGGGTGTTGAGAATATTTCGACTGAAGAGAGATGAAGTGGCAGGAGGTTGGAGGCTTGTACTTGTACTTTTCTCCAAGTATAATTAGAATGATGAAGTCAAGGAGGATGAGGTGGGCCAGGCATGTAGCGCGAATGGGGGAGAGGAGAAACGCATATAGGATATTGGTGGGAAAGCCAGAAGGAAAGAGACCACTGGGAAACCAATGCGTAGGTGGGTGGGAAATATTAAAATGGATCTTAGAGAGATAGAATGGGATTGTATGGATTGGATTGATCTGGCTGAGGATAGGGACCAGTGGAGGGCTCTTCTGAACACGGTAATGAACCTTCGGGTTCCATAAAATGCTGGGAAATTCTTGAGTAGCTGCAGAATTGGCGGCTCCTCCAGAAGGGCTCAGCTCCATAAGTATGTAGGTAAGAGTAAATACACAAGAAATATATATTATATATATACACACACATATATCTTTACACTCAACTTTTATCGAGCAGTACACACATTCAGTTTTATTTCCTTCTGACTTGCTTCCTTGCTCCCCCATTTGTCATTATTTTCCTGGTTGTCCATTGAAGCACTGTCCACACTT